AAAAAAAAAAAAAAAAAAAAAAGAAGAAAAAGAAGAAGAAGAAGAAGAAGACCCAAGGTATGGCTATGCCAGACAGATAATAACAGTCTCTCCTGCACCCCAGTCTGGAAGCAAATTGGTTGGTGAGAGGCCAGTGGAGGCGGTAAAGAGATAGCAGGCGATGTGTCAAGTGTGGGGAGGAGGAGGGCTACATCATTCCCTACTGCGCGACGTGGTAGAGAGTGCGAGGGAGTGACCAGTGGAAATTTCAGTTGCTTCTACTGAGGGCGTGGATTTAGTTGGAGAGGAAGTGCCACGCCTCCTAATTATGGCCCTTCGAATGTGCACCTCACTTTGGCTGAGGCTGAAACAGCCTCCTGTTTGAGTAGTTGCGCAGAGACTGTTTTGTTCTGGAGTCTGTATGAGCAGTGACCTTGCAGGAGTAGGCGAGGGGCTGATCACTCTTTGCCAGGCTTGGGCTGCAATGAAGTAGGTGGAAGGGCAGCTAATTTTAGCAGATGTAGAAATAACTAGCACTACAATAGTTGCATCAGTAGGCTCAGGATTGACTGAAAAAGTAAAAATAAAAATAAATCAGGGTCGACTAGAAGTTGGATTTTGCATACATAGGGCATTGAAGAAGTTGCATTTAGGCGTTAAGGTTCATGAGCGCCAATGGATGGAGCAGCTGGAGGCCTTATGAACCGGGGCTGCTTGTATCACCCCTTCTAGTAGACAGCCATGGCTTTCTTCCAACCAAAAAAAAAAAGAAGGTTCATGAGCGCCATGGAGTTGGTGCTGGGTTCAAAACCCGCTGTCATCACTTTCAGTGCCCGGAGGTGGGTGGGCCGAGGCCAGAACGACGCTGGTTGGCGCTGGGGTGAGTAGCGTTGCCCTGTAACCTGTAGCTATGTGGGAGCATGAGGCCTGGTTGAGAGATCTGGGAACGTGGCCCCCGAGTCGTCACAAGGCGTGGCGGCGGTGACGCCAAATATATGGGGGGACAAAATGGCCTGCTCAGGTCCTTCTAGCTAGTCGGTTGGGACACACCCAATATAAAAGAAGTATATGGTTGACTTCTCGTCAGTATCATCTCCGTGGGCATTCACAACATTCATGGCTCAGTGGATATCATCTATAAAAGAAGTCTAAGGTGGGAACTTGAGACCCTCAAGTTACACAATGTACTCAAGAAACATGAAGCCTGGAGAAACTCCGAATACCAGTCATAACAGACGGTAAAAAATCAACCATCATGACGTATCATCCATGAATCTATGATAATTTAATAATTGTTATGATCTGGCCAATTTCGAAGAACACAAGTTTCTTGAAGCCTGGAGAAACTCTGAATAGCAGTCATAACAGATGGTCGACAATCAACCATCATGACATATCCTCTATGATAATTTAATAATTGTCTGGGTGGGGATCCGGGCCGCCTGGCTGGCTTGCGGGGGCCCGGGGGAGGTCCCGCGCGGCCTGGCCGGGCAGGGCACCCGGTTGGGGGCCGGCCCCCCCCAGCGCACTCACCTGTCTGGGGGTCTCGGACCCCCTTTTCGCTACTGTTGGCCTCCCGCAGGCCTACCGGGTCCGACCGGCCCGAAAAACCGTCCCGTTGGGCCCGGTAGGCCTGCGGGATTTTTGAAAATTTGTGACAGCTCTGTGGCCGTCGATCCACCATGATCGACGGCCACAGAGCCAGTGGATCTTCCCGCCAGCCTTCCCCCCCCGATTCGCGGCGTTGCTCCTGCGCCGTCGCCCATCGCCATCGCTATTGAGAGTCCTGATGCAGCTGCTACGACGAAGGCCCCGACTGTCCTGCTGCTGCTGCTACGACGAAGGCCCCGACTGTCCTGCTGCTGCTGCTACGACGAAGGCCCCGACGATGAAGGCGCCATTCTTCTTCTTCTTCTTCTTCTTCTTCTTCTTCTTCTTCTTCTTCTTCCTCCTCCTCTTCCTCTTCCTCTTCCTCCTCCTCCTCCTCTTCTTCCTCTTCCTCCTCTTCCTCTTCCTCTTCCTCCTTTTCCTCCTCTTCCTCTTCGTCGTCGTTGTCGTCGTTGTCTTCTTCTTCTTCTTCTTCTTCACTCCCTGTCTGCGTTTCTCCATCCTCCCATCCATCCATCCCATCTCGCCATTCTCCATCCTCCATCATTCGTCCTTCGTCGTCCTCTTCTTCTTCTTCTTCTTCTTCTTCTTCTTCTTCTTCTTCTTCTTCTTCTTCTTCTTCTTCTTCTTCTTCTCCTTCTTCTCCTTTTCCCTTCTTCTCCTTCTTCTTCTTCTTCTTCTTCTTCTGCCATTCTCCATCGTCCATCATCCATCCTTCTTCAACTCTACTCCCTCCCTGCCTTTCTCCATCCTCCCATCTATCCCTCCCTCCCTCCATGCCT